TGTGTAGACTGATGAGGAAAAAGTGAATTGAATCAATTTTAAGATCAGACTGAAACATAAAATCTGGAAAACTTGGAAGGGCCTGAATACTTTTCATATTGACTGTTATACACACACAGCAAACGCATGATGTCTATATCACATCAATTGTTCCAAGTCCTTTTTTGTGCATTTGTGAGAGTTCAAGACCCAACATCTGGATATGAATCATTTTGGGTGTCTTTGGACGTCTAATACAAGTTCAGTAATTTGACGTTGTGGTTTCAATCACTTTTCAATGAATGTAGACATACACATTAGTTTGGCTTTATGTATGCCTGGTCTTTATTGTGAACTTCTGTGGCGTACACCGACTAAACACGAAGACAAGCCAAGGACATCCAATTGAGTTGTGTGTCAGATGCTGAAAAAGTGGTCCACTGAGTAGCCAGAATGAAAGTTTTTACAATGTCTTTTTTGGACATCTGTGTGTTTAATTTGGGCATCCATCAGACATCTTGATTAGATTCAAAATGAAACTTTTTGTGATGCAAATATGGGAAATATGTTTTGGGTGCCTACTCAACTCCAGTTTAGGTCCCCCACACAGAGCTAGCTTTTACAACAGCTTTTTCCCGGCTGCAGTAAGACCGATGGCAAATACGTAAATGTGAGAAATGTGAGATTATATGTGCAATAACCCCTTACTAGACATGCGCAATAATAATATAGAAATGTTGTGGAACCTGAATAATAGCAGGACATTCTCTACCAAGCAATGGAAACAGGCTGCTAGAGTCTGCTCCTGTCCTGCTTGGTTGCTGAACCAAACCAGACAGTGATGGAAGAGCAGAGAACAGACTCGATGATTCTTCTGTAGAACTGTATCAGCAGCTCCTGGGGCAGGTTGAACTTCCTGAACTGTTGCAGGAAGTACATCCTCTGCTGTGCCTTCTTGGTGATGGCGCTGATGTTATACATATAGAAGTATAGAGATAACCCTGTTTTTCAGCGTTTAGTCACTGACACCAGACTGACAGAGAGAGAGGTCAGGGATGTTGACACAAAGCAAAATTGCACATCTGAGATGTTTAGTATGAAGGCCTGTGGACAACTAGTAGATGAACAGCTGCAGGGTTCAGATCAGATGACAAAGCTGTGAGCTGGATCAGTTTGCCCGAGATTCAGACATGTTGACCTCAGAATAAAAACACTAGCTGGCCCTGTTACAGTAACATTATCTAGAGAGTGGTGTTTGTTGTTTGTGACGACATAGTTGATGGTGATGTCTCTTGGAGAAACCACGGGTAAATTAGTGTAGTTAGCAGACTACACAAACTGTATATAGTTCAAAAATTTTAAAAATTGTTATTTGCTGGCAATTTTCTGTGATTATGAATTTTTATTGATGAGACCATTGCAACCAGTGGTAAGACGACTGAATGGGGCTGGCCCAGAAGATTTGTGATGGCACAGCCTGACACATGCTGTGGGAGCTAATAATAGATAAAAAAAAAAAAGTCATTTAACATACTGGACTTACTGGAATGATCACCCAACCAATGGCACATTTCATTGTGTTTTATCATTATGGTTTTTATCCCTCTGTAGTTAAATGTAGTGTAGTTTGGGTAGAGATCAATTCACCCTAAACACGGGTAAAATACAAATAAGCTTGGTTTACATTAAGCTTTACCAAAATCTAAGAGTTCTAGAAATAATTCTATTTATTCAGACAAAACAATAAGTACACTACTATTCAAGACATTATCATATCAGTTGTTGCCTGTCTACAAGATGGGACACAAACACTGGGCTACTAGGCTAATAAAAACTAACATAGTTATCTTAAATTTATCAAACAGATGATGCCTTGGCATACATCATGTATTCATGTCAGTTGTGTAGTTGTGGTTGTAATATAATAATGGGAAATTAGGGTCTAGTTTTTAGAGATTGCAATAAATGTTGAGAAAATGACTGATGCAGGGTTTTGAGGTCTAATTTTCTCAAGATTTCAAAGCCTATAATAAAATATTTTGACAGCAGTGAAAAGTACATTGATTCTACTTCATATTTAGGTATGGTTGTTTATTTTTATTGTGCAGGAAATATAAATAAATAGGCTCCAAAAAATGGTTTGACAACATGTTCAAAAAAGTGATGACATGGAAGTTGAGAGGAGTGAAATTTTAAGTCTATTTTAAAATGAAAAAAATCCACTATCCTTGTGAGGAAAGACTTTATTTGTTCTTATGAGGAACTACTCCACCATGGAACAGGAGTGCTTTGCTGTTGTAAGGGCAGTGGAAAAATGGAGGTACAATTTGGAAAGCAGACACCTCATGATTGTGACTGATCACTCATCTCTAGTCTGGGTTCTCCAGACTCAAAAGCCTAGCACTTAGCTTATCAAGTGAGGTCTTCAAATCCAGGAGTTCACTTTCACTGTGGAGTACTGAAAGGGGAAGTACAACACCATACCTGATGCCCTTTCAAGAGCTCCAGTGTGCAGTCATCCAGCCAGTATATGAAGGGAGGAGGCGATTCGCCAGTGTTAGCTCTGGCAGTGTGGTTACCAGTTAGTACCAGTTAGTTCACATGCATGCAGTGCTTACTGCTCAGTCAGCCTGTGGAGATATCACAGGGGAGATATAGGGCTGTTTATCATGTAGCTACTGTATTCTAGCAATCAGAATCAGTTTATTGGCCAGGTGTGATGGACACACAAGGAATTTGACTCAGGTACATCGGCTCTCAATGTGCAAACAGTAAACCAGCATAAGGCTGTGTAATATAACAAAATAAGCTGTATTAACAGCAATAGTGACAGCAACAAACAGTGCAAACAATGCAGAATAAGCAGTATAAACAGACAGTAAACAATGCAGACAACAAGGGAATGTTCATTGAAATGAAATAAATAGGGATAAAACAGAATACTTAAGAACTAGAGACCTGTACAAGTTTCTATAATCTGTACAGGGTATATTTACAGGTATTGCACTGAGGCTTATTGTCCAATCATACTGTTGTGGGTTAAGTGTTCATCAGAGCGACAGCCTGGGGGAAGAAACTATCCCTGTGCACAGTGACCTGTAACGCCGTCCAGAGAGGAGGAGTTCAACAGATTGTGTCCGGGGTGTGAGGGATCAGCAGTGATCCTCTCCCCCCTCCTTTTTACCAGTGAGGTGTTCAGGTCCTCCATGGAGGGCAGGCTCACACCAATGACCTTTTCTGCAGTCCTGACTGTCTGCTGAAGTCTGTACTTGTCCTGCTTGGTTGCTGAGCCAAACCAGACAGTGATGGAGGTGCAGAGAACAGACTCGATGATTCCTCTGTAGAACTGTATCAGCAGCTCCTGGGGCAGGTCGAACTTCCTGAGCTGGAGCAGGAAGTACATCCTCTGCTGTGGCTTCTTGGTGATGGTCCTGATGTTGGACGTCCACTTCAGGTCCTGGGAGATGGTGGAGCCCAGGATGTTAACAGTATTTTTATCTTATCAGTGCCGACACGCTGGTGGTTGAACTGGTGCTAAGGTGGAGCAGGCTACGTTAGCCGCATGGTTGACAGAGGGGTCCTTCAAGATGCAGTCATTGGTATAGAGTGAAATTAGCACAGGGGAGAGCACACATCCCTGGGGGGCACCTGTGCTGGTAGTCTGGGTGTTGGATTTGATTTTCCCCAGCCACACCTGCTGCTTCCTATCTGTCAGAAAGCTAGTAATCCACTGACAGGGGGGGGCAGGCACAGTGAGCTGGGTCAGTTTGGAGTGGAGGATGTCCAGGATGATGGTGCTGAATGCTGAGCTGAAGTCCACAAAGAGGGCCCGTGCATAGGTCCCTGGGGAGTCGAGGTGTTGCAGGATGTAATGCAGTGCCATGTTCACTGCATCGTCCACTGATCTGTTTGCCTAGTAGGCAAACTGCAGGGGGTCTAGCAGGGGGTCTACGATGCCCTTCAGGTGGGCCAACACCAGTCTCTCAAAGGACTTCATAACTACAGATGTCAGGGCGACAGGTCTGTAGTCATTCAATCCACTGATGGAGGGTTTTCTTGGGGACTGGAATGATGGTGGAGCATTTGAAGCAGGAGGGGACTTCACACAGCTGCAGTGACCTGTTAAAGATAAGTGTGAAGATGGGAGCCAGCTGATCAGTGCACACTTTCAAGCAGGAGAGGGTCACACCATCTGGGCCTGGTGCCAGCAAAGTTGTTGTGCCACTATTTCAGCTTAGAAGATGCAGATGTAGCAGAGCTTGTTTGACTGAGAGATTAGCTTGTTAGCACTGTAACTTTAATACCCTAAAATAAGCAGTGTAATAAAAAGAAGAATAGAACTGTTACACCTATTTCTACTTTTACTTGAATACAAATACAACAAAAATTGCTGCTTCCATAAAAACAGATATAAACACAAATACTGGACTCTCTGCACATCGCTAGTCAAGTGCATCTTAATATGGTGGGCAGGATTAGTGAAATATCTCAGGTGTTGATGCTTTGGTTTTTGACCATTCTTTTTTAATCAGTATCCCCTAACTTTTTGGAAGTACAATACACAACTGCTGGAGTACTCCTTTAAATATGACATGGTAACAAAAACTTACAGTTTTTAGATCTATATTTAGTGTAATGCTTCAAACCAAGTGTTCAAATCACCAGTAAAGTATTACTGTACTTTCACTGCTGTTGTAAAGCTCCTTAAATACCTTATTCATTTCTTTATGAACAAACCTGTTCATAATGAACAGGTTCATTAAGTGGTTCATTAAGGTTTGCTCATAACAAACCTTTGTGTATTTGTTGAAAATGTATTTGGCAATAACTTTGACTCACACTGTATCATAAAGCCTTTTTGGTCAAAATAGGTTTAGCTGACAGGAAACTGCTCCAGATGTTCTATCAGAAAAGGGAAATGATCCCAACCAAAATAAAGAATTTGAAAAAAACGTTTTCGTAACCATAAGAGAAAAGAACAGTTTTAATATTTGACATATTTATTGGAAAGTAAAAATACATTTCATTTTAAAGTACTATTACATTTCTACAAAGAAACACGTTACATTAAGCAGATTGGACCAGACTGGACCACCATGACAGAACATATAAAACATGGAGGGTATTAAGACAGAAACTATTTTGTGACCATTTTTGTCTTTTCATGGGATTGGTTGCACATTTTTCTTTACAATAAAAAAAATATGGAATAACACAAGTGTTAGCCTGGCAGTAAGGGGCTGAAAGGCCTTTTCAGTGTAATAAGCACAAATCAGTTTTCAGGACCCCTGAAGTTGGTAGCTTTCTGTGGTTGGTACTTCAGGCTTTACTTGACATAATACTATAATGTCCATGGTATATCTACATATGATCAACAGCGGAATGGTTTGGCAACAGTACTGCTTTTCAAGAGAGAGGCTGTTGGGATTTGCAAACTACCTGAGGATACTGCTACTGATTTAAAATCTGTTCTTCACCGTGGCACCGTGGACCCAGATCTGGACAAAGCAACCTTTATTTTGTTAAGCATAGATATTTTCCTTTAATTTCATTATGATTGACATGTGACAAATAAAAAGACAAAGCTTCATCAGTACCTTTTTTCAAATACAGGGCTCCTTCTGAATTTTAACACAAATACAATTTATGATTAAAATAATTCTAAAAGTGTAAAAAGATAAAAGAATAAAGAGTAAAAATGTATAATACAAGCGTAACAATTAGAATGCAAGAACTAGATGTTTAATTTAGGCAGTTTTGATACTGACAAACACATCTAGTTATCAATAAAAGAACATTTGGTTTATATATCAGATAATAAAATGCTGATTTATAAGTAAGCAACTTTGAAGTCATTCCACTATGAAACACAAGTAAACATATAGACAGGTGACAAATTAAATTAAAAACCAAGACAAAGCGTCTCAGAAAGATGCTAGGCCACCACATGCCAACAGAATAGCTCCAGTCACCTTGTCTTTGATTCTTCAAGTCTCTGAACTGGAGGGATGGACACTGTTCATACAAAAGATATTCCCTCCACCACCATCATCAAAACATGATGCTGACTAATACATCAGTCAATAATCTCAGGTTTTTAGGCTTCTTATCATTGGACTGAAAGTAACTTTGTAATGCTATCTGAACTTGAAGTTAAAGCAAATGAGATGCCAAAGCATGTAAGCTTTTACACATATATGATTGCTTGGTGCGTGTGTCTGTCTAGTATTCATAAGCAGAATGTGGTGTCCTCTGTGATGTTGACCTGGTGCTCTGGCTACTGAGGCTAATGTGTCTCTTCAGACAGGGGATCTTCTTAGCCATCAGCCTTCTGAAGTGGCTCTGAAACTTCTTTCCCACAAATGTGTAAAACACAGGACTAATGCAACAATACAAATAGGCTATATTTCGGGTCACATACAAGGCATAGTCTAAACTGTCCGAGGCAGCACACGAGTCATCCCCCTCACTGGTGCGGGAGCCCTGGATAGCCCGAAGGAGGATGACAATGTTATAGGGTGTCCAGCAGGCAAAGAAGGTGAAGATAATGATAAATATGAGCTTGATAGCACGGCACTTCTCCCTCATGCGGGTGGACAGGATACGGATGGTGATGCTGATGTAGCAGTACATCACCATAAATAAAGGGAGGAAAAAGAAGAGCAGGAACTGTTGGTAATAACTGACCAGACGCCAGCGCTTCATGATGCTCTCATCGAATCCTGACTCCTCACACATCAATCCACTTAATGCATTGTACCACACATTTTGGAGAACCAGCTCTTTCACACTTGCTAAAATACTGATGCACCAAACTGTCACCGATGCAATGATAGCATATGCCCTTTTCCTGCTCCTGGCAGCTGTCACTGCATGCACCACTGCAAGGTATCGATCAAATGTCATGAGGGTGAGGAAAAGGATGGAGCTGTAGAAACCAATGAAGTAGGCACTGCTGACCATCTTACACAAGGCTCTGCCAAAAATCCACTCAGACAGATGATATGTTGCCCAAAAGGGGAGACTGGAGGCAAAGAGAATGTTGGAGAGGACCAAGTTCAGGAGGAAGATGTTTGTCACTGTGCTGAGCTTCTCATACTTGTAAATTATGAAGAGGACAAGCCCGTTACCAAGGTAACTCAGGAGGAAATTGACATAGTAGAAAACTGGGATGATTCTGGAACCAAACTGGTTGACAGCTGTCTTTCCACAGAGATGGACAGTTTTGCTGACCACATAGCTCGGGTCAGACGTGTCTTCAGTTTCATTTTGTAGGGTCAAGAAGTATGCATACAGATCATCGTCGTTCATGGCTGGAGTTTGGCCTGTAGCACAAAACATTAAGACCCATGTTAGTCTGCTTACTGGTAGTTGCAAACTTGCTCATAAAACACAGCAGGTACTGATCACATAAGACCTTAGCTCAACCCTCCTCTCCACTGTTTGTAAGATGGGTGCTTGCTTGGTAGCATGTAATAAACTGACCCATAAAAACCTTTTGTCATCTGCGTTCTTTAAGTGAGAATCATTTTCCAGGAGTTACTATCAGTATTTTCACACACATTGATAAGCGTCTGTTTCAGTTGTTCAAGTTGTACTGTAGTTGCGACTCAACTCATTGTCTCACAGAACGGATGTGCTGGCTAGCATACACTGATGAAAGCCAGAAAGATAACGATGTGTTTCCTTCTTTAAATGTTTCAATCATTTGGTGCACATGTTCCTTCATGCATTAAATTCTTCAACATTCTGAAATTCTGTTCCATCAATTCAAACCCATGTAACAAGGCGTTAGAATGAACCCTGCTGTTTTTCTAGAGGCTCTATGTTCCTGTGAATGCAAAGCCAGTGGTAGGACGAGCTATTTTTGTACAGTACCAGGTATTTCCTAACACCAAATGAGCAGTTTTACAGGGGTGGAAGGAGAGGCTCAGTGGAGACTGAGGCTGATTAGTTTTGGTTCTCATTTTGGAAATTGTATTTTTGTTCAAACCTGCTGACACCACTGCTTACTGCAAATGGAAAACTGCAGTGAGTCACTATTAACACATCTTGATCCAGACATGTTTGATTAGATAAAGACTGCAATTGACCTGGCAAGACCCTCTAGCAACCTGAGGTGGTTGTGGATCAGGAGGTAGAGTGGTCTTCCCACAACTACAAGGTTGATGGTTTGATTCCCATTCTTCTCAGTCCACATGTCCTTGGGCAAGACACTGAGCCCCCAGTTAGTCCTGATGGCCAGAGCAGGGACAGCTCCGCCATCTGTGTGTGTGTGTGAGTTGGTGCTGCAGATGGCTGCCTTGGTTTTGTACTGGAGACAAATTCCTTGTGTGTGTAACATACTTGGCCAATAAAAGTGATTATCTATCAAAATTTGCAGGTAGTAATGGTTGGGTTAGTAATAATGCTACTTAGTGCATTATGCTGCATTTCACCTGTAGATATTGGGAAGAGCAGCTGTTACCACGGTGAACACTAATGAGGACCTCAACAATATAAAAGCTGAAAGTAATTGCCATCAGAGATTACAGAGTACAGATTTCCACTTTAGAAAGATTGTTTTCTTGGCGATAATTAGAGAGATATGAAGTGGGGTTTTATATTTAATTGGTAGGTGGTTAACTTCTGTGATATTACCAAGCCGGCAGATTGATGGTGATGGATGGATTCTACAGCTCAAGGTGGTGGAGAGTTTATCTGTCACTGCTACCCAGAGGCAGTAAACAGGCAGGTCCAAGTGGCATAGAAGTACACATCAACCAATGGACCAGCTCTCTCTTAGAACACATCACACTAGAGAAAATACCATTCACTCATAAGAATAATATACCAACTTTTACCAACACTTGGAATCAGTTTCTAACCACTTTTAACTTAAACCAGATACCTGAGGCCAAGGCCACGCACATTCCCACAAACTCCTAAAAATATAACAAATTGCTTGTTATTTCATTATTGTTACTGTTATTAGTCCTCATTGTCCATGCTACTGTATTGAGTGTGTCACACCTGTCAATCAAACCAACTAACTGAAAATATAACCTACACTCCCACCCCAAATTTCCTACTTTATTTGGTGTAATATTATTTTTATTTAATAAGTACTGAATATCAGTCTGCATAGAGTTGGATACACCCACACAATACACTTTCACACACAAAACTTAATAACTTAATTTAATAATCCCTTTGTCTCTTTTGTCTCATCTATTATGTTATGTTATGTCCTTTGTCCTGTAAATGTTTAATTTTGTGTTGCAATTTAAAAAAAGGAGAGATAAAAGTACAGAGTAGAGTAGTGGCTCTAAAATAAATGACTAAATCAGTGATTCACACCAACTATATCATTTAAGCTTTTTCTTTTTGCCTGTCAAAACAAAACTAGAGAACAGAAACTGCTGACTGAAGCAGTACCAAAGCCCTGACTTCCTCAAATGGAGTGCAATACTTGTTCCCAGAAATGACTGATTATCATTTCAGCAGGGTTGACATTTATGTTTTTTTAACCTCTGAATGCAAAGAGCAGAATTTCTGAGCAATATTTTACAGTAGCACAAATACTTTCTAATTTTATTTTTAAAAATATCAAAATCATAATAATTATAAAACACTGTGCATTATATTATTTTGCAGATGTTTTTGTCCAGAGTGACTATTAACTCAAACAAGACAGGACCCAACCCATCACCTGTGTACTTAATGGCTGTCTCCATGTTACTGTAATAGTCTGTGGAAGCTTGTGACAGTTTTCAGATAGTTTTGACCATTGCCTGGCCCAGACAGGCAAGACATGGGTCCCTATTAAAACATGAGAGTCATCTGCTAACATTACTGTCAGCTGGATTTATTCTGGCCACATTTGGAAAAGTCAGAAATTACACTTGTCCAGCAGAATCTTCCAATGTGGTTTTGTAACCGCACTGTCCCCAATATGAAAATGTTTTTTCAGTGCAAACCAAAGTTTGTATGCAGCATTTCCACACACTGTGCATCAAGTCTCCTTCATTAAGACTACAGCCAAAGCTTAGGGCAGGCTGCAGCAGTGGCAGGCACAGTTTTTGTAAATGCTATATTGTCATGGCCCTCAGCAAATATTTTATCTGCTGGTACACAGAATATATCACCTGTGATGGTAATGTGCTTTGAAGCTGCTGCATAGCATTTTATTTCTTTCAATAGTTGCAAATAGTGTGACCTCATTAAATCCAGCCAACCACACGATTAACCTCTGATTGCACAGCCGACTTTTAATATTAGCACAACTATCCCATAAGTGCATATGCAATGATGAAAGGCATGCTGCAATCACATTCAATAAACATACAAACTCTTAGTCTAGCTTGATGCATCTGTTTGAAAAATCCAGCAAGTGCTTGGGGCAGGATGCGTCACCCACTTTTGGCTCATCACTGGTGGATGTGCCAGTGCTCACAAGCTGGGGAGTAGCCTGTTCATTAGTATATAAATCAGCAACCTGCTCTTTCTACAGCAATGTCTATGTGACCATGAGCAACACTTTATTCTATAACCCTGGATTCCAGGATACACAAAAGAGGCATACCAGAAACATTGTGTACTCCACTGCTTTTGTGGAACAATTTTTACTCCAACAGAGGGGGTTAAATAAAATGAACACTGCAATATAGCTAATAACCTACAACAGTTAACTCTATTTTGGACTCTCCGGTTCCCTGGAGAAGGTCAGCACTGTCGACAACTTGCTCTTCACTAGTGGTGCAAATGAACATGCCAAAATTCACTAATGTTAGATTTGGCAGGGAACATTTGTGTGATTCATTTCAGCTTTTCCTTTCCTCTTTGTGACCAAGCCAGGTCTGCATTATCTAGTTACAGGAAACAGAGGCTTCCTGTAGTGGAATCAGAGTTATGTGAAGCTCAGTTTCAGATCTCAATTCACAGCTGGAGTAGCCTCAGAAAGCTGTGTGCTTCAGTACACTTGTTTGATATTGCATATTGGTTTACCATATTTCTTACAGGGATCATTTATATTGTCTCACCATGAGCTTTTCTTTTTTTAAGATCTGAGGGGGCCAGTGATTATTTGTTAGGTGTAGATTTAAGTTACAAAGTAGATGAAAATTAATGTAATTAAAACACTTCAAAACAATGTGCCCTGGCATGGAATAATTTGACTTAATTTAATATTTTGTGTTACACTTAAAGCTCAGCTTACTACTGATACTCTCTTCAACTGAAAACTGCCAATGAAACAGACACATGGTTTAAATTTCATATATACATAAAATAGTAACCTTTCAAACAACAATTAACCAACAAAATATGCACATGTCTGTGTCAAAAAGGAATAAAGTGTTAAACACAAATTAACATGAAAAACAAATGAGCAAATTCAGATTTCTGTTGTCAGTCTTACCTGTGGAGCGTTTTCGGTGTGCAGTGGGAGAAGGACAATGAGGAGCACAAGGATGCACTGGGTGAGTTTTCTGTGTAACTAACTGAGCTCAAGCGTTTTAGTGTGACAGAGGGCAGCATCTGCTGAAGGGGGCTGTCCTAAACCAAATTAATGTACTGCTCAATACAAGCAGCTGTAAGTGCTTTTGTATTAACTGTAAACAAATTGTTGACTCATTATGCAGCCAGTAGACGCTGCAACCCGTGTGTTGTTTGGTTACATTTGTAAAATAAGATTGAATGTATTTCTTTACTACTTGAAATGCACCTTTCTGGAAATATTTAAATGATGGGCTCTGTATAATAACAATGACCAAATGACAAAATTATTCAAATAGGAGCTTTGTTGACAGAGCTTACCCAACTACTATTCCATCTTTGTTAGGTTTTACACCTATTTCTAATGTATGCATTTTCTCCAAACACAGGAAACCTGGATTTAAGTTTTAAAATAAGAAATAATATAAGAGAAGAATCCGCCAAATCTCTGACCGGTTTACTAGCAAGGGTTATTTTACTCCACTGATCTCAAAGTAACTGACTCTGTTCCTAAAAATAAATAAAAAAACACTGTGGGCAAGACAACGTACATGTGTGACTGAATGTTGGTAATGACTGGTAACAACAAAACAAACTAACTGTAGCTTAGGAACGGAGAACAAACAGTGACAGAAGAGGATCATATTGCATCTAAGATGGGGACATTTGCAGCCAAGGTTTTAAGTTGTTCAGCAAAGGACACAGTACACATGATATTATATAATTTCAGTTGGACTTGCATTAAACAGACGTTGGTTGCTGGTATGTGATGATGCCCAGTGTCAGACAGTTGATTCTAGGTTCAAACGACTGCAGTACAAATTGGTGCATACATACACACACACACACATACAGTACATACATATTGCATCATGGTAGAATACAATTTAATGATACTTTCATAAATCGTAGCTCCAAAGAGCTGGTAAACGTCTTGGTAACAATGATACAGATCTGATCTGACACCGCTTCCTTTAATCTTCCTCTGTACTCACATCGTGCCTTGTCATTTCTCTTTTCTGCTTATATGAAATTTTCACGACTGAGGTTAAATTTGCTTTGCATTTGCATCCTGTGGACAAAATTTCATATCAACATTCAGTATTTAAAAAGTGACAACTGTTGATCAGCGGCTGAAGATCCTGACAAGTTGCCTGGCCATGGAAACCATGTAGATCATTTATCCCTACTCTCTGGTGCAGCCCATAGAGGTCTGCCAGGCCTTTATTGTCATGGTTACAGTAATAAATGTGTTAAGATTGTGGAACAGTCATAGATAAAATAAACCACTTGTCAGAAAGAGTTTTGAAACTGGACTTAAATGCTCGGCAATACCAGAGCACCAGTTGGTAAGAAGGTTTATTGTATGATAGTTTACAGAGACAGGTGACCGCTGTGTCATCTGCAAACTTCAGGAGTTTAACACAGGGGTCCTCTGAGGTGCAGTCATAGGTATAGAGGGAGAATAACAGCAGGGAGAGCACACATCCCTGGAGGGCACCTGTGCTTATTGTCCGGGTGCTGGATGTGGTTTTCCCCAGCCTCACCTGTTGCTCCCTGTCTTTCAGAAAGCTAGTAATCCACTGACAGGTTGGGGCAGGCACAGTGAGCTGGGTCAGTTTGGAGTGGAGGATGTCCGGGATGATGGTGTTGAATGCCAAGCTGAAGTCCACAAAAAGGACCTGAGTTAGGTCCCTGGGGAGTTGAGGTGTTGCAGGATGTAATGCAGTGCCATATTGACTGTATCATCCACTGACCTGTTTACTCAGTAGGCAAACTGCAGCATTTCCATATCCTCTCTGCATTACATTGTGTTCTTGTTGTATTTTTATTTGCTCCCTTCACTTGCTGCTTTAAAGTGCCTTAGATTTGTGATTTTACTGCCTATGTAGATTTGTGTTATTGCTCATTTACTTTATATTTCACTTGTATTATGTGGCATTCATGTGGATTGCAAAGTAAGAATTTCATTGTACAGGGAAACATGTTTCCTGTTTACTGTGCATATGACAAATAAACACTTTAACTTTTGACTACCGGTATTTGCCCAATTCATGGGGGAGGGTTGGCTCTAAAATTTCCTAAGACAATGAGTAGGGAGTCTGGAGGTTCCCGTTCCAAGAGAATTATCTGGTCAGCCAGGTGTAATGCCTCACTAACGCAGGCCTGGGATGGGATTAAAACCCCGGCCAGAATAAAAGAGGAAAACACACACCAGTTCTTTTTAGAAGAAAAGTGTAAGAAACCTCAAACATCATCTTTATCCTGTGTAGCAGGAGTAGAAATTACTTTGCTGATTTGAATCACTTTGTTCAGTTCAGTTTAAAAATTTCTAGTCAGTGATTATGTAGGTTGTTCACCCTTGTTCCAAAGCTAAATGGCTGCATCACCATTCCATACGGTGATCACCATTCAGTGTTGATTCTGACTGGTTTCAGTTCATTAGTACAGGTTCCAAGCCATCACATTCAGTTTCAGTACAAAACTAGCTTATACAAGCACTGCACACAAAGTTAATGGCTCAGCAATCTAATAGTTTGGACAGAGTTATTCAACTGTAATGCGATATTTGATTTGTTGCTGTGGCTTTTGCAATCTTTTAATATTAGTAAGAAAGTATACTGTGCACTGTGAATTACATCTGAACTCAGTCATCATGTGAGGAGCTCCAGTCTAAAAGCTACTGATTGGGTAGGTGATAATGATGAGGGGTCAGTATAGTCTGTTCATTTTGAAGATTGTTGTTGATTGATAGTCTAATGACATCCTTTCTTTGTTCTATTTTACACATGTATCATGCATTGGTTTTTTTTATTATATGGCTCATTAAGACATGAGCCAACAGTAACCAGAACTCCCACTTCGCAGTTCTGTGCCTCCACCAGCCAGTCAGATTCATGGGAATGGGACTGACGTGAAGTTACTGACATTGACCAGTCACCTTTGACCACCAAACTCTAATCAGTTCATCCTTGAGTGCAAATCGGCATTTGTGCAAAATTTGAAGCAATTCCCTCAAGGTGTTCCTGAACTATCGCATTCAGGAGAATGGTCCAGACAACCCAAAAACATAATGACTCTGGCCAGTGGTATCGCTGGTGCAGAGTATAGTTGTTTTTGGCAGCCTGTTTTCATTTTAGTTTTAGTCTAGTCTTTGTGTGAAGCTGTCATTTTAGTTTTTATTAGTTTTAGTCATGTTCATACTCTTTTTAGTCTAGTCAAGTTTCAGTCAGCTAAAAGTCTGAGCATTTTAGTCTTATTTTAGTCAGAATTATCCATGACTATTTTCATCTAGTTTTAGTTGACGAAAACTGATGACATTTTAGTCTAGTTTTAGTCAATGAAAATTGTATTTTATTCTCTTTTTAGTAATGCAATTCTATTTAACCCACTCAATATAGTACAAGTACCTAGTATAGACGAAACCAAAATTTTCTTTTAGCCAAACCCATTTCAAACAAGGTTATCTTATTATATTACTGCTACCTTATAGACTCAAGAATACATCCAACACACATTCTGTGTAATTTTGTGGCCGCATTTCTCCCCCATCTTTTTCCAAAACAACAGTATTCTTTTCCACTTGTATGTAATGAAAGTTTTTCCAAATGTCGTTTCTTCTTTTTCTCCCACAGACGAACCCCGGCTGGCCGGCCATCGGTCTCTGTGTCAGACTTAACTTTGTTGTCGTCTTCTAAATAATGCCTCGAGTGGGGCTTAAGGAGGTGACGTCGCCTGCGTCTTCGCAGTGCGGCTTGATGCGGCCCCTGAAGCGAGACACGGGAAACAGAAAAGCTGCAAAATAATAATAATAACGCGACTAAACGAGACGAAATAACGTTATAACATTTCGTTTCGTCTCGTTTTGGTCAACGAAAATGAAGAAACATTTTGGCATAGTCTTTATTTTGTAAACCACATTTAGTCTCGTTTTTTTCGTCAACGATATTGCATTATACATTTAATTATAGTCATCATCACACGACCAGCATTTTCGTTGTGTGTCGTCTCGTTTTCATTACGCGATAAAGGTTTGTTGACGATGATATTTAGTCATAATTTTCGTTGACGAAAGCAACACTAGTGCAGAGGCATAAAAACTGACGAGGCAGTTCATTTGCTGTAATGTAACCTGAAACACACACACACAGACACACATCATGGTTGAAAGGTCACGCTCATGAAGAGAAAAATATTTACATATCGGAGACCTATTGTCTTTCCTGGAACTGAATGATAGCTGTGGGGGAGAAGTGTGAAAAAAGGTGATGAAAGCTCATTTCCTTTCAAACTATTTTCTCTGACATTCAGTGTTTCACACCTCTGCACTATTTATGTGAGTCTGCCTGATAAAACAATCTAACCTAATTAAATTCTTAAAAGCATTATTTCACATTGTCATATTGGCAATGAATTTTAATTGTTCCATATTTTCAATGCACACAACATCTTTGTGGGCTCAGACAGGAACATGTTATTGGGATTAAAGGAGCTGCACTAAGTTGGTTCAAATCTTATTTATCAGAATAACTCTAGTTTGTTCATGTTAATGATAAATCTTCCACGCAGATTAAAGTTAGTCATGGCATTCCACAGGGCTCTGTGCTAGGTCCGGTTCTCTTTTTATAGATGCTTCCCTTAGGCAACGTTATTAGAAAACATGGCATAAATATCCATTGCTATGCAGATCAAATCAAATCAAATTTATTTATATAGCACTTTAAAACAACATCCAGCTGACCAAAGTACTTTACATGGCAGAATAAAATCACAATAAATGACTAAAATAGAATAAATAAGATAAGTGCAAAATAAAATAAAAGCACAGATACACAGGCATACAGATGACATATACAGTGGTGTGAAAAAGTATTTGCCCCCTTACTGATTTCTTATCTTTTTGCATGTTTGTCACACTGTAATGTTTCAGATCATCAAACAAATTTATATATTAGTCAATGATAACACAAGTAAACACATCATGCAGTTT